AATTCTGTGTCCAATCGTGCAGTGTCCAATCGTTCCGTGTCCAATACTACGTGTCCAATCGAGCGGTGTCTAATCGTTCCGTGTCCAAACGGAATACGCCCCGTTTATTTATGTAACATTGAGTTATTTCTGTAATATACTTTTATGCGCCTCTAATACTGCGCTGGGCTCTTATCGCCAATATATATCTTTTGTGGGTTGATATAGAGGCGTGTTCGCCCTCGGAGGATGACGCAAGGGATAGGTAGAGCGTAATTAGGTGAAGTCAATCAGGCGACTTCTTTTCTGGTTGGCAATAAGAAAATATATTTACAGTATATGTACAATTCTTAATACACTAAGTTCAGGTGGCCCTGAAAAGGGCCGGTTAAGGGCTAACGCTGAGAGCGTTCCCGCCAAGTGATACGTGGCTCGGTGGTGGTGATTCGGAGGGAACCGATATACGGTAGCACGGGCGAGGGTACGCGTCTGAGTACCGATGGAGTCCCGGGTGGCGTGTAGCTGTGTTCTTCGCAAGCTGTCTTCGTCTGCGTGGCCGTGTCCTGCGTAGTGGTCTCCCAATCGCTGTCGGGTTGTGTAGCGTTGTCAGTCACTTCCAGTGAGGGACATTGAGTACCGCGATGTATGCGTATGGCCGGCTGCGACTGTGTCCAACTATCTCGGAGGCGGAGTGGTGAGGCCGCTAGCGGTGAAAGTAGCGGCGGCAGGTCCCACGGCGTCGATGGTGAAGTGTATCGCCGTACCCGGATGTCCCACGGGTTCAGGAAGAAGCGTGGAAGTCTGGTGTATTGCACCGGCGCCAGATCTATCGGAGCGTGTTCGCCCTCGGAGGATGACGCAAGGGATAGGTAGAGCGTAATTAGGTGAAGTCAATCAGGCGACTTCTTTTCTGGTTGGCAATAAGAAAATATATTTACAGTATATGTACAATTCTTAATACACTAAGTTCAGGTGGCCCTGAAAAGGGCCGGTTAAGGGCTAACGCTGAGAGCGTTCCCGCCAAGTGATACGTGGCTCGGTGGTGGTGATTCGGAGGGAACCGATATACGGTAGCACGGGCGAGGGTACGCGTCTGAGTACCGATGGAGTCCCGGGTGGCGTGTAGCTGTGTTCTTCGCAAGCTGTCTTCGTCTGCGTGGCCGTGTCCTGCGTAGTGGTCTCCCAATCGCTGTCGGGTTGTGTAGCGTTGTCAGTCACTTCCAAGGTTGGGCATTGAGTACCACGGTGTATGCGTATGGCCGGCTGCGACTGTGTCCAACTATCTCGGAGGCGGAGTGGTGAGGCCGCTAGCGGTGAAAGAAGCGGTGGCAGGTTCCACGGCGTCGATGGTGAAATTTATCGCCGTACCCGGATGTCCCACGGGTTCAGGAAGAAGCGTGGAGGTCTGGTGTATTGCACCGGCGCCAGATCTATCGGATGTAGCCTCCACTCTCTGAAACTCGTACACGCTCGGTCGCCTGTAAGTCCTGGTGTCCTTTCTCCCTCACAGGGGGGCTCCCGACTAGTCCCGGGTGATATGGGAGGCAGCTGTGGTCGAGGAAGACTAAGGTCCTTCGGTAATGTCGGAGGCAGCGTAGGCTGTCGCGTTCCAAAAGAATTCGTAGGCTCGGACTGACTATCGGGCAGGAGGTCCTTCCCTGATTCAGAGCGGGCTGCGAATCGAAGTCTTCTCGCAGCGCGCCGTCTTATAAACCCCACTCACTGGATCTCACTTGCTGGCGCCGACTCTCGGTTGTGGCCGCCTCACGGCGAGCCTTCGTGGCTCGCGCGCGGGTTTCATGTGCTCCGCGCGTGAGAATTCGTTCGCGCGTCTACCGGGTAGTTCGCGCGTAATTGTGGTTTCGTTCGGAATTAAAATCGATTACTTTTTAATCCGGGCGCGGATTGAACCAATTTGAACCGATTAAAACCGATTAAAACGGATTATGTTTTAATCGGCTTTAATCGACCATTTTCGGCAGGGTAGTGGCAAGCGATGGACAATACTTCAATTAAAACATTAGGTTCCGTTCTTTCACAATAAATGCCCAATTTTTGATAAAAAACGGCGGGAACTTATTTGTACACCTAATATATTTATACGTTATTATATTTGAATTACATTAGTTTTTGTGGGTAGATATAGAGGCGTGTTCGCCCTCGGAGGATGACGCAAGGGATAGGTAGAGCGTAATTAGGTGAAGTTAATTAGGCGACTTCTTTTCTGGTTGGCAATAAGAAAATATATTTACAGTATATGTACAATTCTTAATACACTAAGTTCAGGTGGCCCTGAAAAGGGCCGGTTAAGGGCTAACGCTGAGAGCGTTTCCGCCAAGTGATACGTGGCTCGGTGGTGGTGATTCGGAGGGAACCGATATACGGCAGCACAGGTGAGGGTACGCGCCGGAGTCCCTGGTGGCGTGTAGCTGGGCTCTTTGCTGACCGTCTCCGTCTGCGTGGCCGTATTCTGAGTCGTGGTCTCCCAATCACTGTCGGGTTGTGTAGCGCTGTCCGTCAATTCCAGTGAGGGACATTGAGTACCGCGATGTATGCGTATGGCCGGCTGCGACTGTGTCCAACTATCTCGGAGGCGGAGTGGTGAGGCCGCTAGCGGTGAAAGTAGCGGCGGCAGGTCCCACGGCGTCGATGGTGAAGTGTATCGCCGTACCCGGATGTCCCACGGGTTCAGGAAGAAGCGTGGAAGTCTGGTGTATTGCACCGGCGCCAGATCTATCGGATGTAGCCTCCACTCTCTGAAACTCGTACACGCTCGGTCGCCTGTAAGTCCTGGTGTCCTTTCTCCCTCACAGGGGGGCTCCCGACTAGTCCCGGGTGATATGGGAGGCAGCTGTGGTCGAGGAAGACTAAGGTCCTTCGGTAATGTCGGAGGCAGCGTAGGCTGTCGCTTTCCCAAAAGAATTCGTAGGCTCGGACTGACTATCGGGCCTACGAATACGAGGAGGTCCTTCCCTGATTCAGAGCGGGCCGCGAATCGAAGTCTTCTCGCAGCGCGCCGTCTTATAAACCCCACTCACTGGATCTCACTTGCTGGCGCCGACTCTCGTTGTGGCCGCCTCGCGGCGAGCCTTCGTGGCTCGCGCGGTGATCGCGCGCGGGTTTCACGTGCTCCGCGCGTGAGAATTCGTTTGCGCGTCTACCGGGTAGTTCGCGCGTAATTGTGGTGGTTTCTCGAACCGCCACACTAATAAATAGTTTCTCGATATTTTATTTTAATTAAGAAATATTTATTTATAACTAATTATGTGAGGCATCCTGCATATTCAATTACATATACACGCATATACGTACACACGTACACGTGCACACACACACACGTGCGCGTGCACACATACCCACGCATATACATGTACACAGATGTTCATTGTAACAATCCCTACGATTTTAAAAGCATTCACAATAATCTGAGAAAATTAAGTAACAGATAAAAATTCATCTATTTCATGCAAGTTACAACACTTACAAATAATAAAAAAAAATTGTAAATCTTTTTTTCTTCGTCAAAAAGTTTAAAATTATTTTTATTAATTATTGTTTTAATAAAATCATACAATTTTTTCATATAATAGCAACAAATTTAACACAAATTAAAATATTGGAAATATTATCTTTATTTACAGGGACAAAGATAGATGCAACTTATGTATATCGGTTGTACATCAAATCCCAATTAATAATATTCAAGATTTTTAAAAAAGATAATTAAAGCTTGTGCAACCTTAAATCTAAATAGTTTATTAATTATTATGCATAATAATTTATAAAAAAGGATAGGACTTTATGTAGAAGAAAACATGTAATTTTAACATTTGCTTACCTAAATTGCATCTCTATCAACTCTCTCTATTTGAGAGCTAAGATAATAATTGATAATATGTCATTTTGGATCTTTTGGAAAACTGATAATTAATATATAGGTGGACTAAGAATATTTTTCGACTTGGCTACAAAAAAGATTTGGAAGAAGCTGATCTTTATGCCACCCTTACGCAAGACAAAACAAGCCATTTAGGTAAAATTATAGGCAAAGCTTGGGAAAAAGAAGTAGAATCGTGCGCAGAAAAAGAAAATGGCTCTAATCCACAATTACTCAGAGTATTATTGCGCTGTTTTGGAAAATCATTTCTACTAATTGGATTAGCAGAAGCAGTTATGGAATTATTTTCGAGGTATATGTTAATTTCTTATGTATAAATAGAAACAGACAAATTATATTATCATCTGACCTAATATTATAATCTAAAAAATCAAATTTTGATTTTATTTTTTTTTAAATAAAAAAAATATAAATTACATAAATATAATTTTATAATAATTACACACATAAAATTTTCTGTTATTAATAATACAAATAAAAAGATCATATATTTTTCCTACATAAAAAGAATAAATTGATAATGTAGTAAATAAAAATAAATGTTTTTATATCGGATTATATTTTCAAGAAAGATTTTAAAAACCGAAAATTTGATGATGAATTGAAAATAATGAAATTGAAAATATAAAATTGAAAATATGATATGAAATTGAAAATATATTCTGCATTTTTTAATTTGAGTAACTTTTACCTTTTACTTCATTAATTATTATTAGGTTGTTGGACATAAAATGATAGATATCATAGTATGATGAAACTGGTTACGGTTTTAATAATAAAAATTGTCGACCAATGGCACAAGCAAAATTTCAAATTGTAGTATAAGTCCTGCAGAAAAACACTTGATTATTTCATCTCTGAATTTAATGCAAAGCAGATTGAAATAAAAAGAAGATGACAATGGATAACTAACACGCGTAATTTCATTTTATGAGTTTAAACTTGGACACACGATGCAATCAAAGCAACAGTCAACATCATAATGCGACATTTGGAGAAGACACAATTAACAAACAACACAATGTTAGTTTGAAAAATTTCCATCTGCAAACATCAAATTTGAATATGAACGGTCTCAATGTTATTGATAACAATGAATAGTGTTCATAGTCCATTTTTATACGAGGATGAGTACAAAAAAGATTATCTGCACTCTATTTTTACAATTTATTATAACTATAACAGATCAGTGGAAGTAGAAGAATTTTTCAAGCTGTTGATAAGATTTTGACAAAGCCTGTGGCATCATGTTTATTGCAAATCAACATATTGTAGTTAATTCTTGTTTCGATGCGAATGCATTGCTTGAAATAAATGAAGTATGTTTCAGTATTGTTAATGAATATAATTGTAACACACATGTTTTGATATCCTTTATTTATCGGCACATATTTATATCTCATATTTAGCATTAATATATGTATGTGGCTCTAATTGTAATTCAGTTTATATAAAAATTTATATAAAAGTTTAGTTTATATAAAAATTCAGTTAATATAAAAAGCTTTAAATTATGTAATTATTTATTATTATTTCTAATATTAAGAATTGTATCAAATTGCAATGTGATTAAAATAGTGGAACATATTTAAGTGAAAGAAATTTTTTATTAAGAAAACAAATTTCAGTATAAAATAACTTTTTAATTAGAGAAAAACTTGGTGGATCGTCTAAGATCTCAAACCCCAGGTTTTAAAGTATTTCAATTGTATGAGTAGCAGCAGGTCCTTGATTTGTTACGGACCAACATGCGAAAGACGCGGTGCATGTATGGCTGACAGTGCAACCACGAATATTTGTTTTCTGAGGGCAAACTTGTGGAACGCTGGACCAAGTGCATTTAAAAGCAAAGAGACTATGTGCAAAAATGATGTATCTGTAAGTTCTGTTGTAATTATAATAAACTAAACAGAGTGCGAATAATATTTTTTTGACTCATCCTCGTATTTAAGATCGTAGTCAAAAATGACTTAAATATAGTCTTAGGTGATCTTTAGATTCCATCCAATGAAATGACCGTATAACATTTTAAAATTGTACTTAAGATGACTATGAATACGAGCCAATGAGTTAACTTTTCAATAGAATCTGATATATGCCAAACTGTAGGAAATATTGCATTACTCATTTATTTCTCGTTACCTGCAAGTCATTGGAAAAATAAAAAAATTAGATAAATAGATTTTTCATAAATTAACAGAAAAAAATATGGCACGACAAGTTGAAAGTTTGCAATCCTCTTCCCGCATGAAACAAAAGGAATCTATTTTAAAGTGTAATATATGATACGTATATGATATATATGTATATATGTATATATATATGTATATAAAAGAATCTTGAATTTATTTATATAAATTATTTCTTAACTATTATAAGACATTGAGTTGCCAAGCTCTACAAACTATTAAAATATACGATCTCCACAATGACAGCTACTCATGAAGTAAGCACAGCGAGAGAACCAATCAGCATCACGGAAAAGAGGCAACAATGTCAATAACATGCCTTTTTTAGAGAGAGAGCCTTTCCTTTTTTTTATTGATTGAAATGTTTAAGTTGGCCGCTTAAGTTAAACAATTTTTAGATGTTTTTTGAATTATTAGATCTAATTTTGAAGCATATTGGTTATTTTTGAGGACATAGTTAATGAACTCGTTTTTAAGAATTATACAAAATAGAGCCGCTCGTCTGTTAATGTGCGTCGCCGTAGCGACGGAGCGCTCACGCACACTACCAGGCGCGCAGCTAAAGGTCGGCGCTGATTAGTCAGACTTTACTCAATAATAACTGCTTTATTAAGCGTCATAGAAAAAAATGTTACAAGACTTTTCTGTTCAGTTTACTGTGCTCTATCTGCTTACGAGCGTTGTCAAATATATATATATATACACATATATGCATAATAAAAAGTTCACGAGTCGAAAAAGCATTTAACGCTGTCGTATGTAATAAGCCAAGCGATCAACATTGCCTTCGTTATCAGCTCGGTAAAAACTTTCTACTAGAAAGTGAGAAAAAGACAGAAAACATATGTCTGTTCTTCTCTACTCTCCGAAGCTAGCCGAAGCGCAGAGCGCACACGTACGTGGTTCGCGCTTGTGTGCGTTATCCCCTCCATTGCTGAGCCGTGAACCGCGGGACCTGTTTCCAGCTACACTGCCGAAAGGGGCAACTATCTCCGAGCACTGGCTTAAGATAATAAGAGCGGCGAGCGCGCGCAACTGGCTACAGATTGCTTCCGAATTCGGATCGATTTTCTTTTCGCTATCAAAGTCGCTTGTTTCGTTTGCAACCGCGAGTTTAATCGTTAGTTATATTCTAGCCCAAACTATCTCTGTAAAATACACCTATAAATATTCTGTTAACAGTGTATTATCTATTTTTCGAGTGGGATTCAATCATCAGATTGGAAGAAAATTCGTATATCACGATAAAAGAGTTTTGGACGGCGATTAAAATCAGGTAAATAAAATAAATCTTATCTGTAAAAAATCTTGTTTGTAAAAACTAAAAATTTGAAAAATTATAAAGAATTAAAAAAAGTTATCTTTGGTCAGTGATTCGATTCCTTTTTTTGGATTGGAAGACGTGTGAGGAAATCAAAGTGAAGTTGCATGCCGTTTATAAAGACTATGCACCTTCGATTACTACCGTCAGATATTGGTTCAATGAATTCAAGCGTGGCCGAACATCCGTTTTTGATGAAGAGTGGCCGATTTGCGGAATTCGACAAATCATATTTTTTGGATGGCTTAAAAAAGTTGGAATATCGCTGGATTAAGTATATCGAGCTGAAAGGAGACTATGTTGAGAAATAGATAAAAAAAATTAAAAAAAAATTGCGTTTCCTTCCCTAACACGGGTACTTATCATACAGCCCTCGTATGTATATATATACAGGGTGTCTGAAAATAATCACCTCACCCGTAATGTGCAGGTAGAGCGGGTTCAACTGAATAGAAAAGTCCTCTACCGTTTTGCGATGTTCGCAATAATTATTGAGAAAATAATTAAAAAAGATTGGCCAATGCGCGCAAGTATTAGCGCGCTGCGAGAAAGAACGGCCCACGCGACATCGCGATTGGGTTGCGCCATGAAGCAAAGGAGGGGCGAGATGAGTAATGTTTACATATGAACGTCGCGGAACACTGGATTCTCGTATAAAAAATAAGAAATATTATTCGTGGCGCGATCCAACCGCGATACCGCGTAGGCTGTCCTTTCTCGCAGCGCGCTAATACTCGCGCGCATTGGCCGATCCTTTTAAATTAATTTCTCAATAATCATTACAAAAATCGCAAAACGGGTGGGGCGATTATTATCAGACACTCTGTATATATACACTACTAAAAAAAATTATAGCATAGAAATTTGCCGAAAATTGGCCAATTTTGATTGCCGATCATTTCGCGAAAAATTATCGTAGACAAATGATTTTTTTTCAAAATGAAGTTTGAAGTCTCTACTTTAAGAATTTACCTCTATTTTTTGTATGCGATGCACCCCTATCCCTGTAACCCCTGAAATCTGAGGGCATGTTTGGCATACTGAAAATTGCAAATATTTTCTATGCCATAATTTTTTTGAGCGGTGTATATACAGGGTGTCCGGTAAAGATTGTGCCAACGCTCGTGAGCGGGTAGAGCACAGTAAATTGAACAGAAAAGTCCTGTAACATTTTTTTCTATAACGCTTAATAAAGAAGTTATTATTGAGTAAAGTCTGCCAATCAGCGCCGACCTTTAGCCGCGCACCTGGTAGTGTGCGTGAACGCTCCATCACTACGGCGGCATACACTACCAGCCGGGCGGCTCACCGACGTGCGTCCGGCTAAAACCCAAAAGTGGCCACCCTCTTTTATCTTTTAAACTAAAAGAGATAGAGCATAACAAATTTATTTCAAATTAAATGGTTCAAACTGAACTCTATTATGAGCATAGTGGTTGCTTCCAAAAGCTATCTGTTTTAACGAACGGAGAGGTATGCATAATTTTTTTATAATAATGAATATTTCGATATGATAAAAGTTGTAGCGTTATTTGAAACGAATACAACATTATATGATATAATGTAATTATTTTACATATTATACGAGTTTTATCGACTTGAAATATCGCGGGTGACGTCTACCTTTTCATTTTCGGTGTACGTGGCCCGGTATTTTCTTATCCTCTATGATTGCTTGTAATATCGGTTTTAGTTCCGTATCTTTTTGTGTTTCGCTCGCTATTCTAGGAATTGTAATAAGTAGACTTTGTAGTGTTTCTATCTTGTATATGTCCACGACGT